TGGCGGGCAGCCGCCAATGGGGAAGCGGGTGCGGGGACCTGCGGGAAGAGTCCGCTGACGCGTCTGTTTCTTCCAGGAACTGGCGAAATATGAGGACATGGAGGACCAAGTGGTGCTAACCGAGAAAGGTATAAAAGCGGCCTCTGCTCGCCGGGTCGGTAGCCTAGTGGCAGTATCTGTAGCTCAGGTGCTGATTTATTCTGCTTTTCTAGAGCTGCTTGAGGATGGTTTTGGCGAGCACCCTTTCTACCACTGTCTGGTTGCAGAAGTGCCCAAAGAACAGTGGTCATCTGAAGGTAAGACTTCCCGATACTTCTTTTTAGATGCTAAATACACAGGAGGCATCTTATACTTAATGTTATTGACCGTACTAAAGGTTCCACCAATGGACTGGGGTAGGAGGAACAGGCTAACTGTTAAATGTAGTAACATATAGTGATACTCAGTTGGAGTAGTTGCTAATGCTGGAGGCATGGGAAGATCAGGTGTAGCATAATGTACTTGACTCCAATTAATTTAAATGGTTTTTCTTGTTTGACCCTGACTTACCTTTATGTAATCCTGTTGAATCACATTTTTTTCTTTAATTTGTCCCCAATCTTCAGGTTACAGTCTCTAGCTTCGCCATGTACATGGCCCTTCTGTGTACATGGATGGGCGGGGAGGTAACTAAAAGATCCGTTACACAATAAATAGATGATCATAATATGAGGTAAGGTCTACAGGGACAAGTGCGATTCCCAAACCTTTACCAAAGACAGTAGATCAGAAATCTGTTTGCACGTTTCTCTTACAGTATGTGCAGAGTGTTATGGAAGGTATACTTGAAATACTCCAGGATTGGGTTTGAGTGGGCTGCTGTTGGAAGAGTTAGTTTCTCTTCCCTGTTGAGCCACAGAGTTATAATTGAAGCTGTAGCTTTACTTACCTGACTTTACAGTGCTGAAGGTAAAGAAAATAGTGTGATGTTCTCAGGGGAAGTGCAAGATGAGGTGCTGGAAATGATGCTGCAAGGGTGGCCTGTGAGCATGCCCTCTCACGCAGTGAGCTTACTGAGGAATATACACTGAAGGATCAGTGTTCCTTAGTTTGATAGACCAGTTTGGTTGCTAAGGAGGCAGAGTTGGGACAATCGTCTAGATTGCAGACTGCTGTGTAAAGCTTTTACTTGTATTCCAGAATGGGAATGCCAATAAATGAGTAGGGTATGCACACCAGTGTGTTCATCATTGACTAGGATAGTGCTTTTGAGGATCTCCAAGTATGGCCTGGGCAACCTGCCTTCTGTTAGGTCGATACAAGTTTGTCAGAACTCTCATTTTCAGTTGTGTGCTTATTTGCAAACTTCATTCTTAATTCTAACCTAGTAGCAAATGTCTGCATGTCACAGAATCTGTATGTTTAAACATATATGTAAGACTTAATATTTTTGCCTTTGAAATTCAGACTAGCTGAAGTTCCACCCTTTTTTTCAGAACACTGCATTGTGGGCTTTGCCATGTATTACTTCACTTACGATCCATGGATTGGAAAACTACTGTATCTTGAAGATTTCTATGTGATGGCTGAGTACAGAGGTATATATTATGGATTTACATTAGTTGCTTCCTATTAGAGCTTCTTTAAAATTAAAACTCAAGTTTCTTAGTGGTGATTTTTTTGTTTTTGTTGTTGTTGCTTTTTTAGGACTTGGCATTGGGTCAGAAATTCTGAAGAACTTGAGTCAGGTATGTCTTAAGTGTTTAGTCTAAACAAGCAGAACTGGGGGCATGTGGCAAGGCACTATCCTTGCCCTTCTAACTGCATGAGGGCTACTCAAATTAAAGGAGGTGACAGGACAGTAGATGGCTTAAACCATTGTCTAGATTGTGTTAGATAGTCACAAGTGGTGAAGTGACTGACAGAATGGACTTGATGACCTCTGGTGATACACAGTAAGTTGCTGTGTAGTGCCACCAGTTCCTGCTAGGCTTATCATCTGTGGGTGTCTGGAACGTGTTGTGTTGCATGCTGTTGCAGGTTGCTGTGAAGTGCCGCTGTAGCAGTATGCACTTCCTTGTTGCGGAGTGGAACGAACCATCCATCAGGTTCTACAAGAGAAGGGGTGCCTCTGATCTGTCCACTGAGGAGGGGTGGAGGCTCTTCAAGATTGACAAAGAATATCTCTTGAAGATGGCAACGGAAGAGTGAAGAGATCATTCCAGCAAATAAAATCTGTCTACAGATACATATGCGCTCTGAATAAACTCCTTCTTGCTTTCTGTGTACAGTTTGTAGTGGAATAAAGTAGTGTGGATGCTAATACTGAAAGTGCTATCTATGCAGGTGTGGTCATAGAGTAATTGGTACTGTGATCGGCAGTTGAGGCATCTTTGAAGCTATGTATGTGCTTGTGTGCATCCTTTACCAGTGTGGGCTTGTAGTCTTTGTATATGGAAACTTCATTCTTGTAAGTGTCATTCAAATGTGTACAATGTACACACTGGTAGGGTTTGTTTTAATTATTGCCTTTTATAAAAATAAATAGTGGTTTCACTTCATGGCAGTAGTTCTGACTTTAATTCTCACATACACTTCTCAGGTGACATGCAAATTAATAAAAGATTCTCTAATTCACCCAAACACTTTCTTTCACAAGTGGAGCATGATGTAATGTACCACAGTCACAGGAAGTGCACTGAGTGCCTGCAGGGCTGAGGGTGACCACCTGAGCACCTCTGCTTGATTCTGAGTGTGTGGAGGGTGTGAGATTAACCTCTGCTTCCTGTGTTCTGTGCAAGTTAAACTGCACTTGAATTGCAGTTGGGGCCCCTAAATGAGGCTACTGGTCTCTGAAAGGCTGCTCCAGACAGGCTAGAGCTTATGCTATTGCCACCTTGGGGCTCTCAGTTAGCTGGGACCATCTCTATTGGGGAAGGCGTAACCCCAACGCAGGAGGGTGCATCTAGCTGTAGTTTCAAAGCACGCATTGCAGAAATAGGTTTTACTGGTCAGCAGTAGGAGGAAGTATTTTTGCAAGCCACAAGAAACCTCCCTCATGTGACTGTTAAGACATGGAACTTGAATGCTGCTGGCAATACAGGGTTATGTTCATGATACTGGTTAAAGAATTCTTGTGTGTGTGGTGAGCTGCCTGGAGCTAGGTGCTGTATCAAGCAGTTGAAAACAGATCCTGTTTCCAGGATCGATGAGCCTTTGTACAGCCCTAAATGAAAACAATGCTGTACATCCATTTTTTAATTGGCTTTTAAACAAATTTGTCAGCTTTGCAGTACTGTGTCTGCCCTTCTCACAAGTTGGTGGTGAAAGTGGACACGTGCAAGTTTTACGCTGCTCTTCTCTTGCTCTGTATTAACCCCACGTTAAAAAGCTGCTTTTGGCCAGTGCTGCTTTCACTTCAAAGGAAGGGAAAAGACTTACCTGCCTTGTAACGTGGGCTGCTTTAAATAAAACAAGGTCTTACACAGATTTTGATCACTGTGTAAATCCCGTGTCATCAGGAAAATGTCTATTCATCCTAGAGAGCAATGGCCAGTAACTGCTTCAGCCATGAGTAATGCTTAATCAGTTTTAAGAACAAGATATCCCTCTGCCTGGTGGCAACAACAGGCTGTGCAGGACATATAGCGTGAAACTGTTCTTGGTTTGTTTTTGTTTTCAATGAAAGCGTAGGCAGCAGTGTGCCAGCTCTGCCCAGGTGTGAGGTACGGCTGTCAGCTGCTGCATCGGGAACCAGAACATCAGTAAGGAATACAGGAACTCTTGGAAGAGAACAGAAGGAAACGTTTGTTCAAGCGGTTGTCTGGATAAACACAGGCTGGGCTGAGCCCAGAATCTGTTGTGTAAATTACCTTGATTTAGGAGATCAGGTTCTGCATAAGAGAGAGTCACTTGCAGATGCTCCCTGTGTCTGCACAGCACCTCAGCTGCTGAGCACAGGAGCCTGAGGCTCAACTCCCTTTCCTGCCCAAGGGGAGCAGGACGTGTGTCTCTTGCCTGCCAGTAGATGAAATGTGAGACTACAGGCTGCCCAACTTGCACTTGCTGAGCCTGTCCTCTTCCTCCATGCAGTAGGCCAGTGGAGGTGAAAGTAAGCTCTCCCAGTGAACCAGCCCAGGAAATACCGCTGGAGGTGGTACAGGGAGGACAAGATGGTCCCCAGTGGGTCTCACTGAGCATCAGGATGTCATCTCTTCTCTCTGGTGAAGCTGCGGTAACTTCACTGGCAACTCTGTGAGCGACAGAAACCTACTCGTGTATCTCAGTCCTAGCAGAGGCTGTTTTGAAGTCATTTTACACAGTGCTTTTGGCTCTGTGTATCAGTCCAGAAGGTGACTGCTAGTAGAGCAGTTTAAGAATGTTTTTAATTTCAAATTAACAGTTCATTAGATATCTAGGACAGGCTTGCTTAAATCTCAGGCCCCAGACTTCTGGAGCACAATAAAAGCTATCAAAGCTGCATGACTGAATGGAACAAGCCAACTAATTAGGCATTATAATTAGGAAAGTAAGCAGCTTAGTCAAGTTTTCAATCAATTTAAAAGTGTTTATCGTGTCTTATTCATCATTTTCTGCCAATGCAGTTTACTGTTGCATTTTCTAAACAAGTTCTGCTGAAACAGATTCTCAGGGAGTCAGGAAAAACAACTGAGGCAGTGCTAAATGAGAAGACTTTTTCTAGTCAGCTGTGATAATTTTAAAGATTCACATGCGAAAGTAAAGACAGGGACTAACCTTTCAGATGTGACTTTCACTGAGTTCCTACTAAGAGGTAGGCAGTTTAAAACCAGCAGAAATATTCTCACAGTTTTGGCAACAGAGTCTCCAACACAGGGATGTGGTAATGTCTCAAGAAAAAAACCGTTTTAAACCCACTCAATAACTATTTTATTTTATCCTTTCTGTGGGACTGGAATGACTCTGTAGCTACAGTCCAGATGTACAGCAGAGTATTTCTGTGGTTTAGACATGGGAGAAATGTCATCTGGCTTGACTTTCTTCATTTCCAGGATCACGATCACACCACTGGGCTGCAGTATGAGTGTATGTCTGGGGTTAAGCAATACCAGTGCTGCTCACTAGTGTCACACCATAGAATCACAGAATGATTTGGGTTGGAAGGGACCTTAAAGATCAACCAGTTCCAACCCCCTGCCATGGGCAGAGACACCTCCAGCTAGACCAGGTTGCTCAAAGCCCCGACCAACCTGGCCTTGAACACTGCCAGGGACGGGGCAGCCACAGCTCCTCTGGACAACCTGTGCCAGTGTCTCACCACCCTCACAGGGAAGAACTTCTTCCTAACATCTAATCTAAATCTCCCCTCTTTCAGTTTAAAGCCATTCCCCCTTGTCTTATCCCTACGTGCCCTTGTAAAAAGTCCGTCTTCAGATTTCTTGTAGGACCCTTTTGGTACTGGAAGGCTGCTCTAAGGTCTCCCTGGAGTCTTCTCCAGGCTAAACAAGCTCAATTCTCTCAGCCTGTCTCAGCCTGTAGGACAGGTGCTCCAGCTCTCAGATTATCTTCATGGCCTCCTCTGGACTCGCTCCAACAGGTCTTTTGTTGGAGGTCCCAGAGCTGAAAGCAGTACTGCAGGTGGGGTCTCGCAAGAGCAGAGTAGAGGGGCAAAATCACCTCCCTCAATGGATTCTCGGTGGGGATCCATCACAGCACAGACACAGGGCTCACGTAAAGCCTGCAGGTATGTCAGCCTTCTGTGTTACCCTATTTCCTCACTGCAGTGTGCCTTCCCCTGGGGAAGAGTTAGGGAGCCGGTGTTGTCACAGCCCTAATAACATCTCCAGGAGGTGAGGTGGAAAGATCCTCCTTGCTCTTGCTCTCAAGCTCATGACCCAGGAAGTTCTCCTTATGCCAAGCCAGCCAGCAGTAGACTTTGCAGTTGCAGTTTCCACATTCCCATCAGGTGGGGTTGGAAAGGTGGCCTCGGACAAACCTGCAGCCAGATAACACAGCAGAGGGACGTACTCAGCTGCAAGAAGGAGCGCCGGGCTCGCTGCTCCCTCTCCACTTGGTGTTCTCCTTCTCACGACTCCTGCACAATGACCCGAGCTGCAGCCATAGCAACGGCATGGAATGAGGTTTGTCTACATGATTTGAGTTAAAACATAATATATGCGAGAAAAACAACCCTTCCCCCTCTCCTCTTCTTTTAAAGAGCCTTTGGACTCAATGTAATTCAAAACCCCAATGCAAACTTTTTCCCCAAAGAGTATATAGGTATTTCAATGCGTTCCTGCATGTGGCATTTTGTCTTGGAAGCCTTGCCATCCTGGAGCCTGGCCAGCTGAATGCAGAGGTCCCAGCTGCAGGGAAAACACCAGCTACGTATGGAGCAGGGACTCAGGAAACCATTGCTTAAGTGTTACCTGGGGCTGGAGGCTAGCCCGGAGATATGCTTCATGCCTCTCTTTCTTTGAGCTGATCACAAGGTTTATTTAGAATCATAGAATCACAGAATCTTTTAGTTTGGAAAAGACCTTTAAAATCATCGAGTCCAACTGTTAACCCAACACTACCAACTCCACCACTAAACCATGTCCCTAAGGGCCACATTTACACATCTATTAAATACCTCCATGGCTGGTGACTCAATCACTTCCTTGGGCAGCCTGTTCAGCGCTTGAAAACCCTTTTGGTGAAGAAATGTTTCCTAACATCCAAACTAAACCTCCTCTGGAGCAACCTCAGGCCATTTCCTCTCATCCTATTACTTGTTACCTGGGAAAGGAGGCACACACCCACCTTGCTACCTTCCTTTTTCCCCGTTCCCCTTGCTTCTCTGGGCTCTCCCTCCACACACCCTGTGGGGGGCAAAAGCAGAGCTGAAGGAATGCACACACACACATACACACAACTGATGGCAGCACTGGTGAAAACTGCAGTGTGCGTCTTTTTGCCTTGGTTTAAAGAATTCACCTCACGTAACTGACTTGGCGCTGCCCAGTTGTTTTGCTTGCCTGGGCAGGATTGCTTAAATGCCTTTTTTTTATTTGTTTGGAACTCACATTTCAGAGAAGTGGCCACAATGTAAGTAAAGGCATTAGCTGCTACCTGAAATAAAGCCACACATGGCTAGCAAGCTTGCCAGTAACATTCAATCTCACTGCAAACACAAAGCAGGCTGTAACTTCACCATCCAGCCATGACTCCCTTTCAGGACTCTTCCTTCTCCTTCTAAGACCTAACTTTTTGCTACCGAGCAGGTTTTTGGCAAGTGCAACCTTGATGGAGGTCTTTAGAGCTCATACTAGTCCCCATAGGGAGCTTGTGGAGGAGAGGGTGTAAGGGTGAAGGTGGTGGATGTTGGCTCTGGGGTAGGAGCACAGCCCAGCACAAGCGCCTCACCCCACTGTCCTCTGACTTCTGCAGTCAGAAATGCTCACCGTGGTTGATTACAGAAAAAAGCACAGGTACACACCTCTACTGAAAATAGGGGTGGGAGGGGTGTGTGTGTGTGAGGGGTGAATTTCATCTTCAAACCAGTTTCGGTTTCATTTCACAGATCTATTGTAGGCCAAAG